ATGAATCTTTGACACAGGGAGCCCAACCTGAGATGGGCGTTTGGAATCGTGAGAGCCCAAGTGGAAGCATCCGACAGATGGTAGGATCCAGGGGTCTGGAGCTTGGGAGAGAGATCCGGGGGTCAGCAAGTTCACAAAACCCAGCAGAGGAAGTGAAGTCAACCGAGGAGAAGTGAGGCTGAGAACAGAGCCTTTCAGAGCCCAGGCATCCAAGGCTCACTGGTCAGAGGAGGAGGAGTCAGCCCAGGAGAGGCTACAGGGGTCAAGAACCAGGCGGTGCTGCTGATGCCAAGGAAAGAGCACACCTCCAGAGCTCAGGGGTCCAAGGGGACCCAAATGGGTTCCTGGGCTGACCAGAGAGGGCCAGGTCTTTTGACAGGAGTGGTTGCAAGGAGGAATGGAGAGCAGTTCAGGATGAGAGTGAAGCAGAGGGGCTTGGGTCCAGGGAGGTGTTTGTTGTTAGTATTTAGGGTGGCCTCAGGGTGGAGGACCTTCTGCCACATTCCTCTGGCAATAGGGCCAGGATAAAGAAATGAGGCCCCAGTGGGAGGGATCTGGGGGTCCGTGGATCAGGGTGAGAGGCTGGTGGGCCCCCTGCCCATGCTCCACACCAAGTCTTGTGCTAAGAGCTAGGAAGATGGAGGGTGGGAGCTGTGTGGTGAGAGGTGAGGTGGAGGCTGGAAATGGTCACTGCAGACAGCAGGAGACAAGGCACAAGTGACAACCTCATCCACTAATTTCGCAATGGACTGAGTCTTGCCCTGAATCCAGCATGGCTGACAGCCAGCTCAGGACTGGGGCTGGGCCCTGAATTGAAGACAGTTATAGAAATTCTACCAGGGCCGGGATTAGGGTGAGAAGAGAGAAGCACCTAGGAATGCAAAAATTAACGGAGGCCTTCATCTCAGGGTCTGCCTCGCCCTGGGCCTGGCCTTGCTCTGGAGCCTGGCATTCAACATTGGTCACACTCTGGTCCCACCCAGCCCCACTGTATGCCCAATCTTCAGCCCTGTACACAAACATGGTCAACATATTCTTCCTCCACCATCTGTAAGAGTGTTTGCTCATCTTATGCCTTTGGCTTGGAGCACGCTTCTCTCCTCCTCTGCTTGGCAAACACCTGATCATTCTTCAAGACTTTGGTCAATGTTTTGTCAATGCCGTCCAGCCACAGACCATTCTGAGCCAGCTGTAGTTAAACGAGGTGGATTTGCTACCCACCTTGAGAAGGAGAACACAGGGGACAGTGGGTGTGAGCAGACGGTGCCAGCAAGAACCTATTATACAGGATTTGAGCTTCAGTTGGTGATTGGGAGGAGGGCCTAAGGAAGTAGGGGTTCACTAGATTGGGCGCTGCTGCAAAGTGGGGGCAATTCTATAATTGGGGGATCTCAATAAATCTCGTCCACAGAGAGGGGAAACTAAAAACATGATAAAGCTATAATTGGTAAAGACGTAGCAGTTATTCATTTGAGACAAAAGGGGCCTGAGAGAAGAGGTGTGCTTGGTACTTCGTGGGTAGCATGGGGACCTTGTTTTGTCTGGGCTGAGACACAACTGTGAAGTGGCCTTGCTGTGTCTTACTGTCTCAAGGTCCCAAAGGGACCTCATCTGAGGTTGGTGTTCTGTGAGCGTGCTTACATCCCACAGGATAACAGTGGGGCCCAGATGGCAGCAGCTTCAGATGGACAGCGGGAGCTGCCCCTTTTTTTTCTTTCTGTCTCCATCTCTGCAAAGCCTCTGAGCAGCGACCCCAGCAAACACCTCTGTTTGCATCTTTTCCTCCTTCACGCTCCAAGAACATTCTTTTAAGATAGTATATAACATGCACACAGTTCAGTGTGCTCATCTTATGGCACAGCTCATAGATTTTTTTTTTCACTTGCACACGCCTGTGAAGCCACCACCCAGGTCAAAATACAGAACATTTCCACACCCTAGAAGGCTCCCCCATGCCTCCTCCCAGACGCCACCCTGCCCCAAAGCATCTAAGACTGCCCTTTGTCACTGCAGAGGACGCTCTGGAATGTGTTCCTGTGTGCCTGGCTTCTCTTATTTACCATAAAATCTATAGACTTCACTCATGCTGTTGCATGAGGCAGCAGCTTCTTGTGTTCATTGCTATGCAGCATTTTATACCGCAAAAGCCCCACTGCAATTCAGTGGGGACAGGAACGACTTCCAACACATTGTGCTGGCATGACTGGCTATCATGTGGAAACCCACCAACCTTGACTCTGCCCCACTCTGTGCGCAAGAATGATTCGAGATGGATGATGGACTTGAGTGTGGAGAATTGGAGGCAATCGTCATGGCCTTGGTGAGACCAGCATTTCTTAAATAGGAGGCAAGGTACTAGAAAAGAAGAAATGGATCCACTGTAATTGATTAAAATTAACAACTTTTCTCCATCAAAAGACACCTTTAAGAAGGTCAAAGGGCAAGTCTCAGGCTGGGAGGAAATATTTTGTCCAAGACTCCAATATTGGCTTATCATTACCTTGATGGTTTCCTATGTGTTTCAGCATGTATTCTTTTTCTTTTAAATCACCCCCCAGCTTTATTGAGATATATAATTGACACAAGACATTATGTACATTTAAGGTATACAGCATGTTGGTTTGATACACTTATATAGTGCGAAACGATTACCATCATAGAACTGGCTAACACCTCACCCTGTCTGGCATATGTACTATTTCTTTTTTGTGGTGAGAATATTTAAGATCTACTCTCTTAGCAACATTCAAGTATATGATACAGTATTATTAATGAATGATTATCTATATTTATTACCATATAGATATATTGTTGTACGTTAGATCTTCAGAACTTATTAATCTTATATCTGGAAGTTTGTACCCTTTGACCGATAGCTCCCCATGTTCCCCACTCCCCAGCCCCTGGTAACCAACAGTCTGCTCTCTGTGTCTCTGAGTTTGACTTTTTTAGACTCCACATATAAGTGCTATTATAGTTTTTATCTTTCTGTATTTGACTTATTTCTCAAAGTACAGTGCCCTCAAGGTCCATCCAGGTTGTTGCAAGTGGCACAATTTTCTTCTTTCTCATGGCTAAACAATATTCCATTGTATATATACACCACAGCTTCTTTATTCATTCATTTGTCGATGGATGCTTAGGTTGTTTTCATGTCTTGGCTATTTTGAGTAATCAGCATGAATTTTTCTTCTTCTTCTTCTTTTCTCTTTCCCATATGTATTTTTTAAATTAACTTTATTGGGGTGACATTGATTAATAACTCCCATGTGTATTTTATTCTGAAGACATGTGGACTTTATTTCCAATTCCTATCAGTTTCTGACATTAATTAATAAAAATCTCCAAAAATATTTGGAAGACCCAAACAATATAATTTGCACAAACCTATACAGGCATCGGTTCCTGAACAGGGTTTGGCAGTTGGAACACGGCTTTGGCTACAGGATTGTGAAGCAGTACTCTCATTTCTGGAAAGCTATGGCAACCGAGGCTCCAGGAAGTGAAGGGGCTTGCCAAGGTCACACACAGCACCTCTAGCCAATGTGGTGGTCAGTGTGTGCCTTGTATAGGAGGTGCTGAATAAATGCTTCAAAAGCTGCTTTGGGGCTCCCCAAACCTGTGTGTGTGCGCATGTGTGTGTGTGTTGTGAGGGAGGGGATGGGTAACTATGCACCCAGGTAGTATTCCCAGGCAGAAACCATGATTTTGATGTTGGTTGTAAATACTGGCTTAATGCTGCAGGACCCCCACAATTTACCTCCTGGTGCCAAGAAACAACCAAACCCTATGACCACGTCCCTGTCCTCAAGCCATAACCTGGTCCCAAAGCCCAGGGACAGAAAAGATAGACAAGATGCCAACAGGGCAGTTATTTTTCTCTCCTGGGGCTTCAGCCACTTTCCATTTGCAAACAGTGCCTAGAGTTACACCCCAGCTCCACAGTCAACACGTGACCATGCCACCACAGAGGTGAGGCTGCTGCCGCCTTCCCAGGTCTCCAAGCAACAATACAATACAGATGAGTGTGTAGGCATGGAGGTGCTGACCAATTCTCAGTTCCCACCTTCGGCTCAGCGCCGGGCATTTCCTGCTGGGCACTGCATGTCCTGTTCTTCCCAGCACAGCTGCTGTTCCAAAAGCTGCATCCAAAGTCCCCAGGATTGGGAAAAAGGCCAAAAGAAAAAAAAAAGAGAGGGAAAGAAAAAACTCCTCTCCATTTATTATCAACCAGCAGGTGTCTGGAGACACGTGAAGAACGTGGAGATGGTCCCCAGACTTGGGGTCAGGTCCTGCCTCTGCCCCTCACTGGCTGTGCCTCTGTTTTCTTGGCTGTAAAATGGGCATGATATTGCTCACCTCATGGTGTCATAGTGAGGACAGGAATGTGCAGGGATTTTGAGCTTAGGTCCTGGAATCTGCAGACCTGGGTTCAAGGGCTGGCTTAAGTGGATCCGACAACCTCTCTAAATGTCTGGTAGGGGTCTTTTCAAAGCTGATGACTAAGCTCCTCCTACTCAGTTTTCCAGGCTCAGCAACCTAAGTTTGCACACAGGCAATTAGTGGATGTTGCCAAGAATTTTCGTGAGGATGGAACACAATAATGTTTGTGTAAGTGTAAATCACAAAGTACAGCACCTCTGTACATTTTTGTATATATTTGCTGAGAAAGAATTCAGAGATAACTCCAGCACCTCAGGGAGCTCAAAGCCCAGGGAAGGAGATGGGACAGGTGCACACCATTCACTTCCTACTCCCGCCCTGTGCTCTGAGTACCACTGTATCCCAGGCTATGGATGAGGAATTTGAGGGCCAGACAGATGTCACATGGTACATACATCTTGCTGATTCTTGAGTCCGGTGTGCTTTCTGCTGTCCCAAGCAAACTAGGTTCTACTTAAGCTTTGATGGAGAAGACTTAAGCTAAGAGGATGAGAGGGGGGTTGCTATTCATAGGATGTGTGTAGGGAGGTGGCAGGGACAGGGAGTGCTAGGTCAGCTTAGCAGCAAGCAAGTCAGGGTGTCTGACACTAAACTGCCCCAGGTTAGGGGGTCAAGCAAGGGAGACAAGGGCCAAAGGGAGTATGGAGAGCCACAGGTCTCATCCCAAAGCCACAGGAAGTGTCATCTGCACACCTGGCCAAACCCTGAGTTCCTAGGTGGGACACAGAGGATGTAGATATTCCCTTGGTCCTGGGAACTCACGACCTCGTTGGTGAATCAGACCCACAGAGGGGCAACTCAGGCAACTGTGGGAGCCCAGGGAACCCTGACCCAGCCTGAGGCATCAGAGAAGCCTTCAGGGGGATACAGGGCCTGCCTGGACCTGAAAAGGTGCACAGTCAAGTGAAAAGGGGTGAGGACGACTTGGAGGCAGAGGGAACAAAGTGCGCCCAAGGCTCTGAGGCTGGAGTGAGGTATCTGAGGAGATGGCAGCGGGTAAGAAGGGGCTAGAATGGGATCCAGGATCTGGGGAAGGAATCATCCCTGGATAAGAGGAGGGGGCAGAAGAAAGGAGGGTTCAGAGGTTGGTTTGTAGATGGCAGGTGTTGGGTGTTGAGAATTAAAGAAAGGAATGAAATGGCAGGAGATACCTTTGTTCTCATCCTCACCACTCCCCACATCCTTCGCTCACTGCTTCAGCCACACCTGCCTCCTGCCTGTTCCTCCAGGATTTCTGCTCACTCACTCCTACCCCCCAGAATACTTCTACCTTCTGCCTAGAATACTTTCTCCCCTGGTCTGCAGGGCTCCCTCCTTATTATCGTTCGAGGATCTGCTCACATGTCTCTCCCCTGATGGGCCTTTCTTGGACATCCCCTGCCCACCATCATCCCTGTCGCTTTATCCTGCTTTATATTTTTTTGCTGATCACTTACCTCTTCCTGACATAGTATATCCTCAGAGGCTTATACACTTCTTTTCTGCCTCATCCATTTAGCATGTAACTTGCAGAGAAGTTATCAGCTTTGCACATGGCTATATCCCTGGAACCTAGAATAGTGCCTGGTATGTAGTAGGTGCTAAATAAAAGTGTATACGGGAATGAAAGACCAAGTAGAGCAGGTGGGAGGTGATGGAGGAAGTCTCTGGTGACCATCTGACAACGTTTTCCCCAAAGACATATTTAGAAAGACAGCTATTCTCTGACACACAGGTTGAGCAGGCATATATGGCTTCCTCTAAATCCTGAGCCCCTAGCTCTGCCTCCTTTGTCAATATAGAGGCCCTAGGTCCTTGCACTTGTGGGCAGTGTGGGCAGAAGTGGTCAGGTCTGGAAGGGATGGCGGGGCTGTGATTTTGTTGGGGAGGCTGGTATGGGGGAAGGAGTGAGAAGGATTGGAGTTGAGAGGTCTGGGTCAGAGTTCATGGAACTGCTGTCTGTTTGGTTCCCACCACTATTCCCCACATGGCCAACTCCCAAGATTGCTTTCTCCAGCAAGATGGACCTGGACATGGTATGTTGAGCTGTGCAGAAGTCATGATGATGATGATAGCAGGTACTTTTTATTTTTTTAATTTTTTTAAAAGATTTTCATTGGGGAATTTGGGGAGGGGAACAAAGTTGGGGAATTGGGGAAGGGGACCAGCCAAGTTGTTGTTCTTCAGTTTTCGTTGTGGAGGGTGCCAGTCGCCATCTGGCCACCCGGCGGCAGATCGTGGTCTCTAAGCTCAAGGTGCTGTGTTCAATCTTAGTTGCAGGTGGGCGTAGCCCCCAGCCCATGCGGGAGTTGAACCAGCAGCCTTGTTAAGAGTGCACACTGTATCCACTGAGCCATCCGGGTGGCAGCCCAGCTCAAGGTGCTGAGTTCAGTCTTAGTTGTGGGTGGGCATAGCCCTGCATTGAACAGGCAATCTTGTTGTTACACCAGCTGAGCCATCCTGCCACCCGTTGGCAGCTCAGTGACAGCTCAGCGTCACTGGCCCATGTGGGAATCGAACCGGCAGCCCTGTTGCTCAGAGCTCGCGCTCTTAAGCCAACTCTTAACCAATTGAGCCATTCGGCCGGCCCAGCAGGTATTTTTAAAATAAACACTTACTAAGTGTCAGGCACTGTGCTCAGAGCCTGTCATGCATTATCTCATTTAAGGTGCCCAACAATTTGAGAGTTGAGGATGATTACCTTCCTCCCTTGTGAGAGGAGGAAACTGCGGCTCAGTGTAGGAGGAACTATTTCTAGACAGCGTTAAATTAATATGATAAGATGTGTGCGGGGAAGTCTCTGTCCTCCAGGTTCTCTGTCTATAACTGGAGTAGTGGTTTAGGGTTGGTCAGATGGATTTCTCAGGACTCTTCCAGCTCCAAATGGGGACAAGGAAGCTATTAGAAGACTGAAGCGGAAGAGCACTTATATGAAAAATAATAAAGGACGTGCATGTGAGAGTATGTGCTTATATGTGTGCATGAGAGAGAGCGAGAGAGGGCGAGAACGAGAGAATCTCTGGAAGTGCTGACATTCCATACTTAAACATGCCTCTCTCTCCCGGTCATAAATCCTAGCCTAACCAAGGCTGATGCTAGAAACCTTACGACCAAAACCTCAGTCTGATCCCGCAGACATTTGATCCCTAGGAAGGGTATAACTCTAAGCCATAGATGGAAAGGGTTTTTTTTACTTTGCTTCATGGAGGATAGCTATCTAGACAACTGTGTGGAGAAGGATTATAAGGTAGTATGTAGGCTCAGTGAGGAAAAATGCTGTATTGATTAGCCATGTCTGCTGAGGGCAAGGGGAGAAGAAGCACCTGCACACCCAGGACAGACGAGAGCGAGAGCGGGGCTGGGAAGCCCGTGTGAGAAAGTGGAGAAGGAAGGCCTCTTTCTCAACCTTCTCTTCTCTTGCAATATGCTGTTTACTTCAGCCCTGCTATACTCTGCTATTCTTTTTTTTTTTAATCCTTGTTTTTGAATTTTAATTAAATTTTACTTGTAGATTTTTTGGAAAAGGTAATAATACGTAAATATAAAAAGCTCAGTACTTCTCAAAAGTAGAGAGTCTAAAATAAGAGACCCTCACCACAAACAGCTGGGACCTCCCCCAACACAAATGGCTATGCCCTACGGGTGACTGAAAATGGGAAGGGGACCAGTCCTGCTGAGAATCTGCAACCTGGCTGCCATCCCCAGCAAGTGGCCTCCCAGGTTAACATGTCCTGGGAGACCACAGTGGGAACCTATCGGATATGGAGGAGGTCTGTGGGCCTACAGCATGGGCGGGGCAGGCTACCGGTCATAACCACCCCAGGCCAGATCACCATGTGAGGGTTCAGCCTCCAGTTCCTGAGGGATAGAATGGGAGTTAGGTGACCCGGGGTTGACTCCCAGCTCTGCCACCAACTTTATCATTGTACAAACAAAGAAACTGAGGGACAGGAATGAAGGGCAATCGTCCAGGGTCACAGAGCAAGTGGGGTCCAAATCCTCCCCGTGCCCCGCTCTTAGGTCTTGAAGGTCGTTTGGTCACTCAGCGTCCTCTGAGTGGACAGGATTGAGATCCACTTAGGCTCAGATGGAGACATGAATGTAGGCGGGCACACACCCCTCTCTCACCACCCCTCCCTCGCGCATGTGGCAGGCATCACTAATCAATCATGGCAGTGTTTCCCTCTGATCCATATATGGCCTCAGAATTCTGCTCAGTGCAATCTCTCGGGAGCACCTGCCAGACAAACGAGTGCTGAGACAAACCTATTTGCCATTCCTTCTGAGTGGGAATTGACCAACAGGAAGGAGGAAAAGAAAACACACATGCCAGGCACTTTCTAAGTGTCAGCCATTATAACTGACTTGCCTGTGCTAATTCTCACAAATTAATCTCAAGGCAGAGGTATCAGTCCCATTTACAATGAGAAGACAGAGGCACAGAAACAAAGAAACAACCCAAAAGTCCACCAAGAAGGCACTGGAAAAATAAACCATGGTACCTCCACACAGATGGTATACTTCGTAGCTACAAGAAAGGGTGGGGTTGGCCCAGATGTCTGTTGAGGAAATATCTCTGAGATACACTATATCAGTAACCTATCACCTTGACAAAGCTGTATAACAGACCCTCCTAAACTTTGTGGCTTAAAACAGCTACTTATTTAGCTGATGAGTCTGAGATTCTGAGGGTCAGCAATTAGGTTGGGCTCATCTGGACAGTTCTCTGGTCTCCTTTATGTACCTATGGCCAGCTATGGGCTGGGGAGAAGGCTTTCTGGTTTTGGCTGGGCTCTCTGCTCTGTGGGAGCTTGGCTAGAGCAACTGGGCTGACTCTTTCCTGCTCCAAGCCTTTCTCACCCTCTAGCAGGCTAGCCCAGAGGCCACAAGGTTTCTTGAGGCCTACAGTTGGAACTGGTACACCATCACTTCTGCCACATTCTATTGGCCAAAGCAAGGCATATGACCAAGTCCAGATTCAAGGCAGGGAGAAAGTTGCAAAGTCACATTAGAAAGGACACAGAGACAGGGAGATGTGAAGGATGGTGGCCATTTTTTTTTTTCGATCAACCACATACAGTAAATCATATACGCAAGCTGTGAAATAATATGAAACAGTGGTCACTTCAGGAAGTAGAATCAATATGGGTGGGCAATTTGGTTCTTCTCTTTTACTTTATTGTATGTCCTTTCATGATGCTTTCATTGTGTTTCAAAAATGAAATATTTTGATTTAAAAGAAATAAAAAAGTTTATCTTTCAGGTGTTTCTCTGAGACTTGTGAAATGAACCACGTGCAAGGGGATTCATCTAGCACCTTTTGCTCTAGCGAGAGATCAGAAACACCCAAAGTGAACACCAGTGGTCCCAGGGCTTCCACGTAATGGGATTCTGTTCACAGCAAAACAAAGAACCAGATAGCCTGAAATGTTCAGATATTTGAAGGGCATAAAAAGTGAAAACAGTGAGGTGTGAAGAGCATTAGGTGCATCCGTTTGTGAGAAAGGTGTGTAGCTGATCTCTGGAAGGGTAAACAAGACAGCAGCAGCAGAGGCTGTCTGGGGGTCAGGGGTGGGGTGAGGGGTAGGGGTGTGGCTTTTTCTTTATGTCTTTTCGCACCCTTAAGATTTTGCATCATGTGAATGTGGCTCCTCTTCAAAAATAAATAGAAAGAAAGAAGCTTGAAAATGGTTTGTTTTTAAAGTAAAATCAAAGTTTTAGAAAGAAAGAAAGAATTCTTTTTGAAATGCTTGGGGGGGAAGGGAGATAAAGGATGACACAGATTTTGTTCCAGCTACTGACTAAATCGGTGACCCATGGGGAAGTCACTGGCTGTCTCTGAGCATCAGTTTCCACCAACTATAAAATGGGCCAAGTCTCCCTGGCTCGTTCCCAGGTCTCTGTGAGCAGGGCCACTGTGTTAGAAAATTCCAGGGGGTGCCATTCACATTGTGACTGGCGCCCCTTGCAGTTATGCAGTGCATGGCCTAGACAACTAGAGGAGGCAGCCCTGATGTGAGGCCAAGATGAGATAATGGACCAGAGAGAGTTTTGGATGTCACAAGAGTAAGGGTGTGCATGTATGAGTGTGTGCAATGTGACTGCATTCCTCTGAGTGGGTGTGTACTTGCTGTTGACATGTCCTATGGACATATAATGGGGAGAAAGGGTGATTACTCCCTCCTTCCCCCCTCCCCCAGGCTCAGGCTCCTGGGTCTTCTAGTAGCCATGCCTGACAAGAGAAGGGGGCACACTGCAGGCTGCTAAAGCCTCTCTCTCTACTGACCAAACTGTTTCCACAGGCCCTTCCCATGCTGGCTCAGAGTCTCTATCCCCAGGGTCATGACGCAGAAGAGGAATTCCCCTCACACACCAAGATGCTTTCTGCTTTTCAAAGTGCAGAGACGTTAGCCCAGTCAGAGAGACCTGGGCTCAAATCCCAGCTCTGACACTTACTATCCCTGGGACCTCTATCTAAAGCTTTAGTGTTCTCAGCTGTGAAACGGAGATACAAACGCTGACCAAGATACAAATCCTGACCTCCTCATGGGGTGCTGTAAGGATTAAAGGTCAGGCACACAATCGGCACTCAGTCAGTGCTAACTCCTGGTATTGGCTCTCGTGACTTCTTGTGTGATCAACCCTCATAATCACGGGGCGATGTACATTTATGAAGACATAAAACACAGAAAAGGAAACACACATCTGTACTCCTAGGAGTGGTTATCCCAGGAATGGGAGGGTGACATTTAGAAGGGATTCCCACGCATGATTTTTAAATTGGTAAAACCCCCAGTAAAGACATTTCCATTCTAAAAATAGAGAAATAAAGTTAAAAGAAAAAACAAGGAAAAGGCGGAGCATAGAGGATGTTTAGGGCAGTGAAAGTACTCTGTATGATACTGTAATGATGGATACCTGTCATTACACATTTATCCAAACCCATAGACTGTACAAATCCAAGAATGAACCCTCATGTAAACTATGGACTCTGGGTGATGATGATGGGTCAGGTTTATCAATTGTAACAAATGCACCGCTCTGGTGGGAGAGGCTATGCAGGCGTGAGGCCAGGGATTTATACAAAATCTCTGCACCTTCCTCTCAATTTTGCTGTGAACCTAAAACTGCTATAAAAAATGAAGTTTAGGGCCGGCCGAGTGGCGCGTTGGTTAAGAACTGGCT